CCGAAATCAGCGGAACCAAATACATACAGCGAGCCGATGAGCGGAACCAAACACATACAGCGAGCCGAGAGTAAATCAAAGCTCAACGGATCGCCGCCGCAGTGGTTGCTATTCCCCTCCTCGTGCTGGCTTACTGGGCTCGCGCTTCTCGAGAACGCCGTCCGCTCTCCGCGATGGCTCGTCGTCGTCCGCTCCTGGCCGTCGTCGCGTTGCTGCCGATCGCCGCGGACGCCCACGGCGCCATGCTCATGCCGGCCCCGCGGAACGCCATCGACGCCACGGGCAGCTGGGGCAACGGTTCCACCAAAACGGGCGCGCCGCGGCGTCGCCTCGTCGCGCGCGCGCCACCGCCGACGTCGTCCCCGCAGGCACGCTCGAGCCGCTCGCCGTGCCCTGCGCCAACGGCACTGACTCCTGCGCGCCGGGCCAGTCTGTTTTCTGGTTCTCGCAGGGCTGCACGCCCGGCTGCCCCGAGTGCGACGGCCTGGGGCAGCGCGTGCCGTTCTGGGACCACTGCAACGCGACGCGCGCGGAGCCCTTCGAGGCGACGCTCGCGAAGCAGTACTGGACAGCCAATTTAAACGCGACCGAGGGCTCGGAGCACGACGTCTGGCGGTACCAGCCGTGGCGGTCGCCGGGCCTCGCGCTGTGTGGGAAACAACCGATGAGCCGGACCCGTCTAGCAGAACTTCAAACCGCTCGAATCGAGCTCTTTCCAGAGAGCCGAACACTCGTGTCGAAACCATTCACGTACTCGCACACGCTGGAGCGACGTTGAATCACCCGTTTCCCGCCCAGGTCTCGCGCCCGTCGCCGACGCGTGCGGCATGGCCGGCGGCAGCCCCTATCCCATGCGCCGCGTCGGCGCCGAAAAGGTCGCCCGGGCCGCCGCCGCCACGCGGCGCCCTCGCAGGTACAACGGCGCCGAGTATACGGAGACGGAGCACGCGAAGCAGGGCGACCTCGGAACCTACGTGCTACGGCCGCGGGAGACGGGCGCGACGTGGACCGCGGGCGCCGTCGTCAACGTCTCCTGGTACATCGCCTTCAACCACGGCGGGGGCTACAAGTACCGCGTCTGCCCGCGGGCGTCGCAGCTGACGGAGGCGTGCTTCCAGCGGCCGGAGCACGCGCTCGAGTTCGCGTCGACGGAGCACGTCGTCCTCTTCGCCGACGGCGCGCGGCGCGTGCCCAACCGCGTCGTCGCCGAGGGCCTCGGCGGCCTCGGCTGGATGGTCAACCCGATCCNNCGATGCCGAACTTCGTCGGGTCGG